GTAAGTGCTCGTTAGCAATCAGACAAGTTAAAGCAGATGAAACACTCTCCAAAACCAGCAACTAGAATGCCTGGAAATGGGATCTGCTACTGTGTGTTCCAAAAGTGAAATAAAAAGACACCAGACCAACACCGGCCCAATCTGTGCACTGCTGGGCAGGCAGCGTCCCTCACCAGCCCGTGGGATGGCTCCTCTGCAACGCATTAGCTTCCCTTTATTACATTTAATCTTGCGTGAGTTACTCTAAAGGAAAGATTCATTATTGCTGATTTTTATTTTTATTTAATCCTTATCCACTGCAGAGCAGAACATCTCATGTGCCAATTAAGCCCGGGCTCCATCCAGACAGTTTTAATTCCGATGGATGAAAACCGGATTACTTTAGCACAACTGTGATCTTCTTTTAATAACTAACAGATCAAGCACAGCAGAGCCATTTTCCTAGTTGGAAGGAGACAATGGAAAGAAAAAAAAAACCTTCAGGACATATAACATTTCACATTCACACCTGCACCAAGTCTGTTCTTTGGCTACTGCGACACCTCGTCCTCAGCTGGGGAGTAACCCTAACCCTGTGTCTGATGCAGACCCGGGGATGTCGCTCCTCTTTGGTGACATTCTGACACGAAGCAGCGACCCAAGTTTATTTTTGCCGTTGCACCGTAACACTGTCACAGGTATGGAATAATGCTGATGAGTGAGCGAGCAGAGAACGTGACCCATATTCTGCGTCTGGGCTGCTGGATCACAAGGACAGCTCATACTCTCTAAACAATTTGCAATGCAGGAAGGAAACAGAATGCCATGGACTATTTTTCTCTAATATAACCCTTGTTAGTCGATTTGCAGCTGGTAGCTAAGTGCTTCCTTTTCCTCCCTAAATATAGATGAAATGCTCAGCATGGAACAACTTCAACGCCTTTCACCCAACCTCTCGAGTCTTCTGCAAGCACAGCCAGGACGCACGTGAAGCCTTCACGTCCCACCTGAGGCCCCACAGTACAGACACAGGCAATGGTGGAAAACCCAGTGGGAAGGAAAAGGCTGATCCCCTCTTTGTTGGGAGGATTTCTTGGTCGATGGAGAGCAATGAGCACCTTTCCCCAGGCTGCTATCCTCCCCACAACTCATTTCAGTTCAAACCACCCACGACACCTGCCTCGGAGGCACCCTGCGTACCCTCAGCACCACATTTTGGCTACGGGAAATGGAACAATTACAGGGACTTGCCTAAAAGCAGCTGCCGTGGGGCATTCGTGGCTCATCTCTGAACACAGAGGGTGCCAGGCTCGCCCTGCTGTGCTGGAGAACACAGCGTTAACCCAGACCACATCCACCCAGGAAATAACCCAACCGGTGAGATAAGGGAGGTCTGGGGCACAGCACTGCATCTGCACCAAAGGAGAACATCTGGATCCAGGCGATGGACGCACATCTGCTCATGGAAGTCAGGTGTAGGCATTTATTAAGGCAAAAAAGGATGATGACAGCCACTCTGAGCCCACCAGCCATTCATTTCACCCTGTTACCTGAGATCTCCAAAGAAAGCAAAATCAGAAGGGATTTCAAGACTATTCCCTGGGCCACGCATGGCTAATTGGCACGGAAATCAATCCCAGCATGACAAGGAAGAGGCAGGGACGATGCTCACACGTACCAGCAGATCTAAGGACAACACTGAGCAGCAGCACACAATACCAACTGCACTAACGAGAAACTCGTGGCTGTAAAGCAACAGGGAGAACGTGGCTGGAAAACAACCCACTTGTAAAAGCAAGGTAGATATTTAAATGAATGTAATAGGAGATAATTGGCAGCCAAGCATTTCAACACAATGGAGCAGGTGGTAAACACACATGTAAAGCAAATTCAACAAAGTGAGGCTGAGGGTTTTTTTTTTTCTAGAAATTACCAAGATGTTAACTTTCATTTAAAAAAAAAAAAATCTTTGCTGCAAGGTAGCTGCAGCACATTCCCCCTGCTTAGGCACTTGTTACGGTCGTCTCGAGGATACGTTTATTTCTACAACCCAGGAAAAGCAGCCGCCTAAGGTCTCTCTGGAAAAGGTAACTTGAATTAACTTAAAATTATAAAGTTGCTGCTGTCTCAATATCTCTGCCGATTAGTTCAAAAGTGCCATAATAAATTAGATTTTTTGTTCCATGGTGTTTACAGGATTTGCTACAAAGCAAATATAATTACTCAAGAATTTAGCGATATTGCTAAAGAAAAGAATCAAAGAGGATGGAGCCAAAATACACCAGGCACCTCTCAAGGAGAGATGGAAACCAGCATGCAGGGGGGAGTGGAAAGCTGGGAGGAGGATGCAGAAAAGACAGGGAGGAGCTCTCCCACCCGTGGGAGCCCAGATCAAGCCAAGGGAGGGATGCACTCAACCCTGGTTGTCTTTGCTCCTCCTTCAGGCTTAAGAAGCTGATACCCAGCTGGCCCAAAAAGAAGTGGAAGTACCAGTAACTGATGGTTTCTTAGGTCATGGTGAGTGGGGCACAGGCGTTCTCTGGGTTATTTTTTAGGGCTCTGTGAGGGTAACTGCAAAATAAATATTTTGCTGTAAGGCTTCAGTTTATGAGACTTTTCAAGCTCTCCTGGGATAGTGCAGGAGTGCCAGATCCAAAGCTCTCCAGGGGTAAGGGGGACATACCTCACCTCCCGAGGCTCAGCGAGTGCTGAAGACTTCCACAAGCACCTCACCTGTAACTGCAGAAAGACACTCAGACAATGGGAACCCACCTCTGGCCAGCAGGAAAAAAAGAGAACAATGTGTGTGCAGGAAAAGCCTTGGAAGCCTAATGGTTGATTTTTAAGATGATGAACTACCCCCAAAATGCAACAGCTCCCATCTCCATACTGCCTCTTGACTTCACAAGAAAAGAAAACATCAGACAAACAAACTGCAGCTTCCTCTACCTAAAATCCCTTCTTCTAAACCCCTGGCCTTAAGAGACTTCGGAGCCTAAGTCCTGAACTATTACTCATCAAGTAAGCAGCTGCCAGTCAATGATTCTCCATAAATCGAGGAGCAGAGGCTGCAAGCAAGATGCATTATTTCTCTGACATTTCCAGACTCTTTCAGACTAGCATTTCAATACCGGCCCCTAAAATTATTAATTTTAAGCACTGTTTGAACATCTTAAAACTCAGACGTAGCAGAACACCATGAAATAAATCACTTTTCCCAATGATTTTTAGTACCGGCTTCCTGCAACTCCTTAACTTTTTAAAGACACCTTTGATTTTGCAATTACTCACTACAGTTTGATTGTTCCCAGAGTACAGGTTTTCTGCAAATAATATACACTGACAAATTTTATTCTCCACTGGAGCCTGAAATTTAGAATTAAGTGTAATAGAAATAAATTTATTTTTTATTAGTTATTTTAGTAATGAGTATAGATTGTTTCCAAAAGACGTCCTCTCCTAATGGCTTTAGAAAGCAAAGCAGCTGTTGAATTCCTCCTGGGCCAGTATCAATCTCTTCTTGTTACTAACGGTGTTACTTAAATTATGCATCAACAGGTGAAGTGGCAAGCTGTTTCCTTTCTTTCCCTGGGCCCTTCACCTTAGAGGGGAAAAGAATATTTTTGCCTTCAAGGATTTGCTCAGGCACAGTTGCCAGTGACAACAACCAAGACTGAGACGGTAAATTAAGCAACTTTAAGGTGAGCTAAAACAAAAATAGTGCCAGGTATCCCTTTCTCTGCTCCTTTACAGCTGTTCCTGTAAAACTGCAAATTGCAAAAGCAAGCAACAGTTTTGTAACTGCACAGAAGTTTTCAACAATGGGGTTCTAATAATTTTCAAACATGGATTTGAAATATTGTGGATCTTTTGCAAGTGGTGATTTTAACCAGTTACTCCCTGTGCATACTGTGAATCGTCACACACGGAAAGCCCAACACCACCACTAAAACCAGCTCCCATTTAAGTGAGGGACGCGAGAGCATTCATGACTTCAGCAAACACAAGCGAACAATATGCAAAGAGCAAAATCATCACAATTAGCATAATAAGTAGCTGCTCCATCCGTTGCCTAGCTAGCACATTATTATACATTTTTATTATCTTTCTATTAAGCTTTTCTGAAGCTTGGAAAACTGAATTGTACTTGATATTTTTAATATCCTGCATCCTTTAAAATTAGGTGGGGGGCTGGCATTGCACTTGTGTTTGAAATTGCATTGATTGTATTTATGAAGGAACCTGACTTTCAAACCAAACATTTTATACGCACACACAGGCTGCTGAGACATGCCTGGCCTGTGGAACACTCCAGTAGTGTCAAGGCACGCTGGACCGGTGTCAGCACCAGCACTACTATCGTTAGGATGGAGAACACGTGTAACTGTTCTAGCTGCTTCATCTGTCACCAGTTTTGCAGAAAGGCAGCTCTAGTTCAAAAAGAAAGCATCCACATATCAATGTCTTTTGCCAAAATTATTTTCCCAAAAGAAAAATACATTATTTCAACTCTGGTTGTAAGGAAGGAAGTCTACAGTTCTGGTAGGCGTTGCAAAGATCCAGAAGAGGACAAACACAAGCCCAGCCTATTCTTGTACATATACAGCCTAAGCTGTATATACCACTGAAAACCATAATGAAAAAACAGAAACAAGACAAAGCCAGCTGACCCACCTCAACAAGATTTGTTCTTGCCTTTCTCAAAACGCAAAGCAGCAGGTGTGACAAAGGACAGGAGATATTGCACTGAGCTCCTCCTGGAGCCGTTAAATGCTCCTTGCCTGGATTGCCGCAGCAGCGCTGGGCGTTACTGTGACCGGCTGCAACCTGCAGTGGCTTCAGTAACTATTTCACAGCTCTCTGCAATACATGCTATGCATTTTTTCCCCAAAAAGCTATCCAGCGAATTC